ATGTATGTGTGTGTGTGTGTATGCGTGTGTGTGTGTGTGTGTACGTACATATGTATGGATATGTATGTATGGATGTATTAAAATCAATACCATGCATCGCACTCTTCGTGCTTTAAAGCTTATATATATATATATATATATTCATATTCACTCATATTTCATATTTGGACCATGTGTTATTCACACACGTATACCTGTCACATCTTCGACAGATGGGGTATGAAGAAGTGTCCGAGGAGGATTGGCTGCACATGCTCAGAGACGTGGTAGACGGTCTCGTATATGCCCATTCGCTTGGAATCGCTCACCGTGATGTCAAAAGCGAGAACATCCTGTTCGAAGTTATCGATGACCGTCGGTCGGTCAAACTAATTGGTGCGTATAGTTGTATTGATTGTTTATTTACTATTGACTGTTAATTCTTGTATTTACTTTGTTTTATTGACTGTTTATTGTTATGTTGATTGTTGTATTGACTTTTGTTATATTGACTGTTTATTGTTGTATTGACTGTTTATTGCTAATTTGACCGTTTATTGTTAATTTGACTGTTTATTGTTATATTGACTGTTTATTTACTATTGACTGTTAATTCTTGTATTTACTTTGTTTTATTGACTGTTTATTGTTATGTTGATTCTTGTATTGACTTTTGTTATATTGACTGTTTATTGCTAATTTGACCGTTTATTGTTAATTTGACTGTTTATTGTTATATTGACTGTTTATTTACTATTGACTGTTTATTCTTGTATTGACTCTTGTTATATTGACTGTTTATTTTTACGTTGACTGTTTATTTTTACGTTGACTGTTTTCTTTTAGATTGTTCTGTATATATGGATCTTTTCTGGCTCTGAATTGATAGGTATAAATATATCCCCTGTTTTTTAATTACAGGTTGTTTCTGGCTCTGTATAGGTGATCTGTTTCAGGCTCAGCATATATTACCTGTATTCATCCAGCATAGATTACCTGTATTCATCCAGCATATACCAGCATATACCAACCTAACTGTATTCATTTGCCGTGTACGGTTATCCATCACTACCTATAGATTGGGGGCTCGCGAAGACTCGCGCTGACAGGGTGTGCAATTTAGAGAGATGCGGGACACCACATTACACCGCCCCCGAAGTTTTAGATACGGACAATAAGGAGGTACGTTGTGTTTGTCTATTACGTTTATTATAGGTTTCTCCTGGACAATAAGGAGGTATGTTATGTTGGTCGATTACGTTTATTGTACGTTTCTCCTGGACAATAAGGAGGTATGTTATGTTGGTCGATTACGTTTATTATACGTTTCTCCTGGACAATAAGGAGGTATGTTATGTTTGGCAAGTTTGTTGATTACGTTTATTATACGTTTCTCCTGGACAATAAGGAGGTATGTTATGTTTGGCAAGTTTGTTGATTACGTTTAATATACGTTTCTCCTGGACATTAAGCAGGTATGTTATGTTTGGCAAGTTTGTGGATTACGTTTACTATACGTTTCTCCCGGTTTGTATCGTCGCATTCAGAGTGATATACAGTAGACACAGCTCTTGAATGAGGATAGGGAATCGATCACTCATTCCACGAAATGCGCGTACGTATTATTACTGACCAGAGTATAAAGGTCTTGAACATTACTGTCTTAAAGGAATATAACATTCTAAAGGTCTTGAACATTACTGTCCTAAAGGAATATAACATCTCAAAGGTCTCGAACATTACTGTCCTAAAGGAATATAACATCTTATAGCACTCAATCAAACGAATGCAACCCCCTAAAGCACTACCCTAAAGATACAACCACTTTAAACACAGTGATAAACGAATACAAACTACCATAACACTACGAAACGAATACAACCCCCTAAAACACTATGCGAAACGAACACAACCCCCTATAGCACTATCCAAATAGAAGATGACCCCCTGTAACACACTTAAACGAATGCACCGCCTATAACACTACATTCTACGAATGCAACCCCCTAAAGCACTACCCTACGGATACAACCCCCTAAAACTCAATCTCGAACGAATACAACCCTCTAAATCACTCACGCTAAACGAATACAATCTGCGGAACCCATATCCTTAATAATGCTAGCCCACCCCACTTGTATGCATTTCTCCATGGCGTCTACAGGGTTATGTGGCCATGTGGGCGGATGTGTGGTCTCTGGGGGCGTTGTTCTAATACCCTTATGCGTGGTCTCGTGGGGGTGTTGTTCAAATACCCTATGTGTGGTCTCTGGGGGTGTTGTTCTAATACCCTTAATAATGCTAGCCCACCTCCACTTGTATATATTTCTCCATGGCGTCTACAGGGTTATGTGGCCATGTGGGCGGATGTGTGGCCTCTGGGGGTGTTGTTCTAATACCCTTCTGTATGGTCTGGAGGTGATGTTCTAATACCCTTAAGTGTGGTCTCTGGGGGTGTTCTAATACCCTTATGTGTGGTCTCTGGGGATGTTGTTTTAATACCCTTCATAATGCCAGTCCCCCCCCCCACTTGTATGTATTTCTCCATGGCGTCTACAGGGTTATGTGGCCATGTGGGCGGATGTGTGGTCTCTGGGGGTGTTGTTCTACGAGGTCTTCCGGGAAGGCACCTTCCCCTTCAAGGGTCGCACAGCCGCAGAGGTCTTCACGTCCATTCAACGCGGCACCTACAAACAGCTGACGGAGGATGATTGCAAGGTACGTAGGGCTGTGATGCGCCACACCACGTGTAGATTGCTGGGTTGATCATGCTATGCTATCGCTGTTGGTGGTGTATTTAAGATTAGGTGTGTAGGGCTGTGATGCTCCATTCCACGTGTAGATTGAAGGGTTTATAGTACTATGCTGTTGATTGTATTGCTGCCGTTAGTGTATTTATTCTTTGTAGATCTGTGCGAAGTACTGATGGCTATACACTGCACAAAATCCGTGAGTACCAAACCCACGCACGTCAAACGGATATAGACACATACGATACGTACTCGTCTGTGAATTCCAGACCCTCGTTGTTGATTGCTTGTTGGTAGCTTGATCCGTGGCATAAACTACCTTCGTACACACCAAGTAGTACCAAGTATTGTTATTATCCTGATCCTTGCGCATGCTACATACACCAATCAAAGCGAAGATTATTCATATCGTGCTCCGTGCACATATTACATACGTCCACCAATCAAAACAAAGCTTATTTATAGCTTGCTCCATGTGCATACCACATACGTCCACCAATTAAAACAAAGCTTACATATTCATACCTTGCTCCGTGCACATACCACATACGTGCACCTATTAAATAAAGCTTGCTTATTCATACCTTGCTCCGTACACATACCACATACGTCCACCTATTAAAATAAAGCTTGCTTATTCATACCTTGCTCCATGCACATAACACATACGTCCACCAACTAAAACAAAGCTTGCTTATTCATACCTTGCTCCATGCACATACCACACACGTCCACCAATTAAAATAAAGCTTATTCTTAGCTTGCTCCATGTACATACGTCCACCGATTAAAACAAAGCTTGCTTATTTATAGCTTGCCCCATGTACATATCACTTTCGTCCACCAACTAAAACAAAGCTTGCTCATTGATACCTTGTTCCATGCACATACCACAGAACCCTGTCATCCGCTCGCTTGTGCGTTCAATGCTCATTAACGAGCCGCACGACCGGCCCACTATGAAGTTCATACTGGCGCGTATGCCCAAGCCGCCCTCTCTGGTACCCCCCCGCCTACACACACCACCCTCTCAGCTCAATAGCAAAAGCACAGCCAAGCTCTCGTACTACAAATCAGCCGATTCCCTGTCGAGCGACGAGGATTTGCCCTGGTCCAAGTCCAGTTTCAGGATACGAGGTGCAGATCATTCAGGTGCATCTCTGGATAGTCGTATCTCTGGGAGTCCTGGGGAACCATACATTTCCACAGGCCATTCGTTTGGCAATCTGAATAGCTTTTTACATTCCGATCCGGATGCGCAACGGAACCAATTTTTGCCTACAGCCGGGCTAGATACAGACACGGGGTGTCCCAATATGGTTACGGGGTGTCCAAATATAGACACCAAAAGCGCGGCAACAAGCGTGCATGGGGGTGGCGCTGGGGTGCTTAGTAAGGCCGTAGTCGATATCGGTGTTCAGGTCGAACTAAACGATGTGAACCAAAACAACAACAACAACAACAACGACGACGACAACAATAATAATAGAATCAGCAATACCACGAGAAATAACAATGACACTAGAAATAGCAATGACACCGACACGCATCTGCCCCTACCTACCACTGCACACGAGCGATTCTCTGAAATGACCAGTTCACCACGCACCAGGGCTGCCCTGCAAGCGAGCAAGCGCACGCCCACCACAACGCCACTGAGAGACACGCCTGCACACACCCACACACAGGCACACACACAGACACACACACACCCATACACAAACGCACACAGACGCACGCAAACAGATATGCACGCACACACACACCCACACCCACACTCTATCGCCCTTCAAACGTGTGATACGGAGAACGGGCATGAACTCAGGCTGAGCTTAACAGAAGGTACAAAGTATAGTCAGTCATCGGACATCTCTGAGCGCCTGCAACAGGCACACGGCACGAGTGGCCGGGGTGTGGGCGCAGATTCACCTCACGGTGGGGCAACCAGCACTCTGGCCAACGGGACAACCGGTGCAGGCACAAACCAAGGCGCATACCAAGGGCCTCTGGCCTGTGTACCTACACCAGACTTCCAGCGCACTGTATCATACACCCCACCCCCAGACGGAACCGTCACAGCCCGGCCATTCAGCACGCCGACACGCCCCCAGGAAACAGTGCAGCGCAGCAGCCACGAGTACTTGGAACGGCAACGGGTGCAACGCCAACATATCAATCAGTTTTTGAAGGGCGCGGGGGGGGATACGGACGTGGCCCGGTTGTGGGAGAGTCTGGAGAACGCGCGCAAGAGGGGTCGGGACAGCACACACAGGGCACGCGCGTATCGCATGCGGAGCTTCTCGGTGGATAGTGTGCCTACCACTCCTAGGTAGCATTGGTACCTACCATTTGTAGGTAGCACTGGTACCTACCATTGGTAGGTAGCATTGGTACCTACCATTACTGGGTAGCACTGGTATGAGGACTCAGACGAATGGCAGCCCTACACGACTACAGTCAACCGGCGGAGAAGCAGTGAGACTAAGGCTACGCTCCATGGCATATGCGATCACAGTAGCTTCTGGGTGGACAGTGGTTCTACCATTACTAGGTAACATTGATATGAAGATTCCATGTAATAGCAGCCCTGCACAACTACAGTCAACTGGCGGAGAAGCAGTGAGACTAAGACCAAGACAAGTAGCAGCCCAGTCCAGGCAACCACAGTGTATGTCATTGGCATATGAGCAGTACATAGCATTCGGCACAGTATAACTAACACAGCCTTTGGATTGACGTTAGAGGTCTTGTCTACCTACTGCCCATCTTGGGCCGTAGGTAAACCGGGGGAGACGATTGGGTCCCAGTCCTAGTTGGGGGGTAGTTTGGACTTTGGAGAATACGATCAGGGGGTAGCCACAAGACATGGGCGTATGAGGCATCGCATACGTTCGAGTGGGAACGAAGGACCAGGCACAGGACATGGGCGTATGATATGCGCTGTATCTTGGTTGGTAGTACGGTAGCGTCTCCTATGCAGTGTTCGTATGTGGACTTGGGAGTTACTGTCGGGTATCAACCCCACTTGGATACCGCACAACTGGCAGTACCACTATGGCCCTGACCCTGGTAGCACCAATACGACAATGTTCGTACAAATACGACACATAGGTCGCGAATACGACACCAATGGCACGAATCGGATACTTATATCACATAGACGCGGCAAAGCACATACACACCGCACGTCAGGATGTATGACTCAGTGTGTGTATGGAGAGAGAGGTGTGGGGTGTGGGGGGGGGGTGTTTGGATACCCTGAACCCTGAGCTGGAGCGGGACTTTATTAAGTGCACATGCGCATATGTACTTGTAAGGGAGTTCCCCAGTAGACTGATCTGTGTGACGCGTATGGCTACCTTCGTAGTATACGGCACGTGTATTGGACGGATGAGAAGCTTCACATTGGTTTTTACCCACCAAATCTATATAATTGTATCCTAGAGCTCGTTATCTGCAAGGTATCGAAACAACATCTTATAGAGGAAACATATGGGCGGAGAGAATTTAGAACACGCGTACATGGTAGCAAATACATATGCCATTTACATATACTTCAGGCAGTCTGTTTGGTAGTGTCATGGTAAGAGCAGATAGAAGTGACGCTTCACAAAGGGACCAGAAATTACTGTTGTGAATGCGTATGAGGCTAGAGCTAGTGGATGGTGTATGTGGGAGAAAACGTTTCTGACAGAGAATATGAATCTAGAGGAAAGTACATACCAGCCCGACAACGCATACTTGCCGGAGAAACCGTTTTTGGCGAACAATGCTTGGAGGATACGCACTGGACTGAGAAACCGTTTTGAAAAAGTGACGTATCTGTCGGGAAAATCACAGGCAGATAAAACGTACCTGGCAGAGTGTACGGATAGCCATACTCATCGAGTGCAATATGCTGCTGTGAGGTCAACTCGTCGTCTCGAAACACATATCTACGAACGACAATGTGATGTCCACATCTGACAGACTCTGTTGTGATGTCCACAGCTGCAGCTGCGTCTGTCAGTTGGGTTTACAGTTGCGTCAAAAACACAACTGTTTAGGTATTTAGGGTTTAGAGTTTAGTCTAAAATCAGTTGCGTTTGCAGTAGTGTCCAATACACACTGTAGATGTTTCGTTATTTTTGGACCACAGCTGTGAACCTGACCAACAACACGATCTCCATAACCGGGCTCAGTACGTAAACGCCCCCCCCTGAACTAACACCAACACCTCCAACCCGTACAACTCGTCCATCGAACGTACCCGTGGTAGGGTTTTAGAGTTTTGGACAACCTCTCGCCGGGGGGGGGTATCCGTTGCGTGGTGCCCGTACAGGCCTGAATTCAGTGTAAATTGCGCGCCGAATATGAAACGGGATGGCCGTGGATCGTATCTCATATATCCCGTTGACACGTTTTGATCGATGAGTCTGGATCTTGTAAGTAGGATACTCTGATACTCGTACACATACGTTGGTCAATGAGTGTTCCCCCGAGAAAAATCTAGAGTATAATTTAGTAGCAACGCATGGCAAGGTTGAATGCTGTGTGTGTAGGGTTTTAGGAGCAGCGAGGAGCCGTCCAAACCAGGTTTCTTAAGGTTTTAACTTGGATTATTAATAGAGTGTGACCCCCTTTGCGGAATCGAAAACTTAGTTTAGAATAATCACCAGAATAATTATAGTAGTATAAATTAGTTGAGCCATTTGGCACATTTATTGCAGACAAAGACCAAAAACAACTGATTGAATGGGCTGTTGTGTACAATATATAGATTCCATGATGA